TAAAACTACAACTATGATGCATCTAGTAGCTAAGATCTCCAACAGTTGAACTGATATTAAAAAGGAATTAATGTAAAACATAATACCATTGATGAAAAAATATCAAACTGTACGGTTACTTTGCAATTGACTATAAATACATATATATGGGTAGATAGAATACAAATATATAGATAAGAAAATACAGATAGATTGCTATAGATATGTTTAGATGTAGCTATGTATATACCTACGAAAAAATAAGATAGGCATACATATATGAATACATAAATAAATACACAATATAGACACCAATATCTGACATGCTGCTCTCATTACTTGTCAATTATAGCTATCTTCAGGTTACCTAAACATTATTTCTATATTTTGGACAGTTTTGATTCTGACCGAGGGATCATGTTGCTAGATTCACCTGGCATAACTTTCGGCCTTGTTGAAGATAGACCATCGTTAGCAGAGGGTGGTTCCTTCTTTCGGGTCAGCTCATCACCTGCAGGGTGGCAATGAAATGGCATTTTGCTTCATACATTTTTGCTTTATTGCATTTTGACAATAATTGAATCATAAATTTGATAACAATTGTTTTTTTATTTGTTATCATGTTGATCATGTAATATAGATATAGATTTGTTATCATGTTGATCATGTAAAATGCGCAATTCAGCATCTTTGTACACAAATGAAGCTGCCATGTATTTTACTGAAATGTGAACGAAGTCAATAACAATGGGGAATGTCAGCGTTGCAATGGCAGTCCGCATTGATTCGTATCTACAGCAGCATTGCATTGCAGGAAACTAAAATGCCACGGTTTTATTCTCTCTCTCTCTCTCTCCCTCTCCCTCTCTCTCCCCCTCTCCCTCTCTCACCTCTCTCTCTATAAAGTAGCAATATAACCAGGACTATGACGTATACAATGCCGCATGCTTACCGAACACAAGTGAACAGATCTTTTCCGACAGGCTAGCGAGGCTGGTTGAAACTTCCTGCAAGTTTACTTTCTGTGCGATGATCTTTCTGAGCTTGTATGAGAACTCTCTGACGAGATTTCCGAACGCCTTGAAACCATCATCGTTGTCATCTAGCCAAATAGGGAAGATTTCTTTGTTGTTTACAAGAGCGGCTTCCCACTCTGCACGGATCCATACTTTATTACTCTTAAAACAGTACTTGCTGACCACAAATACGAACAGTTTCAGGGAAGGGCTTTCTATGACTTTGATGATGCTATCTAGCTCATCACCAGGCTGTAAGGAAATCTCGTCATAAAAGATTCTGTCCTTCTTTAGGCCGTCTTTCTCAAGACGATCCACAAGTTGCCGCACAAAAGCCTTGTTTTCCCCGGCATGGCAGAGGAAGACGTCGTAACCTTGACGAAGAAAGAAAAAAAGGTAATGAGCAAGATTGTTTCTAAAACATAGCGTTCTCCCTGCTGTCTAATCTGGTAGCCAACAGAGAATGGGCAATACAAACAACTATACTGAAGAATACTTCGGTGTACTAAAGGTTGAAGCAGAAGCAAGTCTCCTGTATTACACCATAATAAGATAATGCTTACACTTACCTTGATGTGATGCAGCCATTTGTCCCTCCATCAGCTGCACAGATCTAGATCAGATTCTGTGGTCATCCCTTTACCGTGTGGCCTCCGAGTCGGCTTAGCATCTTAAGTGATACTGCCAAAACATTTCCTATGAAGCGAAAGAAAATTGTGAAATGCAACGTAAATGTGCCCTACAACCAGGAAGTGAAACATCGACACTACAAAACTCTGCAACCTTTATCAATTTGTGCAGCATCATACATATAGCTACCTTGAACACAAGAACAAGGTGAACGTGTAGTCATTATAAAGTCACTGATCCTTACCCTGGGTCTGTCTTGGCTTTAAATTTCTCCAAGCTAGCGTCATTCTAAAACTAGCTACGACGTAACGACTGTACTCACCTGTACAGGTATGCCCTTAAGTGCACTTTAAGCGAAGGTACAGGGTCTAAAAGATCACAAGTAAGTTTTACGATCCTTTGGTGAAGACATTTGGTGAACGTGGGCCACCAACTAAACGATATCTCCGGACTAGACCCTTAAGAAAAAGCCCACACCTGTCTTAAGGCTAGTTACGTGAGATTGTAGTATGGCAGAGTGGCTTCAGATGAAGGGTCAAAGTTCAAGTTACAGGTAACTAATCCAGGTGTATTTCATTTACTCTCCACACGAGATCTTACTGTTACGCAAAAATATGAAAATACTCAGTAAAACATGAATAAAGAATATAGGATCTTGCTATCTCTTGTAGCTTTCTACAACCTGTAGCTGTTCTCGCTACTCACCTGCAACAGGTGTCACCTCAGCGTCACCCTAATTAGCATAACAAAGGACAATGGCCTGTTCCACTTGAACTTCGGGGGTTATTTAGCAAGGCAATGGAAAGGAACATTTAGGATTCAAACGGGACATGGGAGAAACAAAACACTGCAAAACTGAACTGAACTCACTCACTCACTCACTATCCTGGTTTAGATTATTCTGCTGCCGGTTTCCCTGTCCCAGGGGTGGGCAGCAGTCGGCTGTTCTGCACACCTCGTCTCCAGCTGGCTCTGTCCTGTGGGTCTGTGCTAGACAGACCACACTCCTTAATATCCCTCTGGAGACACTCCACCCAGGTTTTTCTCGGCCTGCCGCGGCCTCTGCTGCCTGGCAACTTGAAGTCCACGATGGCGTTGATGCAGCCACTGGCACGCTTAACGTGCCCGTACCATCGGAGGCGGCGTGACTGCACAACAGACTTGATGTCTTCCAGGCCAAGCTTAGCAAGCAAGGTTGCAGAAGGAGTCATGTCCTGAGGTTTAACACCACAGTGGTCATAAAATGGCCTGCAAAACAATTTGCCTTCGCTTTTTTGTACGACGATGTCAAACCATGGAGGCTCAACAATTTGCATTGAACTAACAATTCAGGCTTAATAGACATGCACAACATTTTTACCTTACGTCCTCCAAATTTTACTGGTCTGAATATATATAAGGTGTAATACCCCCGTCACATTGTCGACGAGCTTCGGCCGTATTTGTCAATCGCCGAAAGATCGGCCGATTTTGAGATCGACCGACGATCGCGCGCATTTTTGGCTTGAAAATCGTCGCGGTCACATTGTGCGAGGCTCGGGCGATCGCTTGGCAATACATCTATGATAATGAAGTCCCTATGACATGGCAAGCAGATGAAGCAAGGCCAGTGTATCCACCTAAAAATGAATAGTTTGGACAATTTTTATGTTTGACCTGTCGTAATATTTTTTAGCAAAGTAATGGAGCGGACTGGCAGAATGAAATAGAAATAGAAACAGGAATTCCGTGAAGGGTCCAACTCAAATACTACCACAAGAGCCACAAATGTACACTACCGTCTGGTTAACACAACGACCACATTTTTAAGCAGACAGGAGTCGGCCGAAGCTCGCTCGACACACGGGCGTACGTCGCTCGAGTTACGGTAGACGATCTATCGATGCTCGCACGATTTCTACACCATTCAACCAAAACGTACAACAAGACATAATGATTATTATTATATCAAAATCTTTTTATACACGTGTACCTGAACAAAGCTAATAATATATGTTGTTCTAAAACTTTGCCTGTATAATTGTGTCTAAAATAGTATGAATCTTCCGGTAAACAAGATTATTAGTCATTCAATGTCAACAAAGTAGACAGAGGTAAAAAGACCCATGCAATATAAACTTCAACTAGTAAGTAATATCTATCACATGAAGGCACCCTAAGGAAAAAAAGTCAACCTCATTCCAGAATGAACAAGTGTAAACGTTAATTTATTATACAATCATCTGAAATAAGGGCCGGCACACACCTCCTAAAAGGACAAGAGTAATGGATTTCATGTGCGTTCAATCAGTTGAGGTCAAAATCTAGGCATTTGGCCTTATATAGTTAAAACCTCGTCATCTTTTTAAAGTGCTTTTTTAAAGTTCATTAACGAATGTTGATGTAACAAAAGGACAAAGGACGATTTTGTCTATTTTTATACTTTCTCGTAAACATAACGTTAACAATCAGTGGGACGTTGCTCCTGCAAACTTTACACAGTATACTGTCAATGCAATCTCAAAGAAATGTTACAGGTGCTGAATAAATAATAACTTAACAGGAGCTCGGCCGAGGCTCGTAGAACCTTCGTCCGACACTGGCACGAAGCTCGCTCGAAGCACGCACGATTTTAAAAACTTTGCGCAAGTCGGGCGAGGTACGGAAGAGGGTCGCCCGAATATTTCGCGAAGTTCGCGCGATGGTCGACCGTATTCAGCGACCGTCGCCCGATTTTCAAAGACGAAATACGGCCGAGACTCGTGGGATGTACGTCCGAATATCGGTCGACTCTCGGCCGCACAGGGACGAGCTACGGGCGAGCTACGCGCGAGCTGGAAACGAGCTCTGCGACCTCAAAAATCGCCGGCGACTAGTCGCTGATGTTAAGAACACGTTTCGCGTGTCAGCGAGCTTCGGCCGACTCCAAAAAATCGCCGGCGATCCCGAAAATTCGCGCGATGCTCGACGGAACATCGGGCGTACTACGGTCGTAAATGTCGTTTAGAGCTCGCCAACTAGTCGGCCGATCGATTTACGCGCAATGTGACGGGGGTATAAGGTACTGTTAGTAAAACCCATTTATTTACTAAATGTGTATTTTCATGTACGTGTTGTGTGAAATAAAGATTATGTTGAAAATTTCAACACACCATATATATATTAAAGCTTAAGCCTCTTCAAGTCATTTGTGATACCATACTGTTTAAAAAAAAACACCCTCCCTCTTCACAGCGTATCTGCCAAAATAAGCAGCATTGCCATACTTTACATAGTAGTATTACATAACCTTACTCCTGCTAACTCCAACTTGTGTTAAAAGCTGACTTATCAATTGTTAAAAAGGCGCTTGCCATAAATAAAGCACTACACAATACATTTGTATTTCATGTGATACTCTTTAATGACAAATCAAGATTTCAGAAATGTTGGACAAAAAATTCATTTCAGTAAAACACACGTTTCTATGATAATCCATCTGTATCCATATTCAGTGGAGCCAAATTATGAGAAGTAAATTTTACAACAAAAATGCTACAATTTTGAAGATTTCCCATCTCACCGTTACCTTTGTCTAATAGGCCACACTGATTTGATTATATGGATAACATCCTCTGTGTACACCAAAACTGAAGCGAGTGTGCAAAAAAAATGTAGAAATGGACAAAAAATTGATGTGTGTCAATGTCATCCATATAATGTAATCAGCATATGGCCCTAAACAAGAAAAAGGAAAATGGAGCTGTGGTCTTTCCCATTTATTTTCTGGCATCACAAATTCAATACAATTTTTTTTCATCCCTTTTCCTTCTGTCCATCTGAGCTGGACTCATCCTTCGCCTCCCTGAGCCACACGAGAAACGCGGTGACAGATTTGACGGCGATGCCTTTCCCAGCCTGCTCCGCTGGATCAGAGTCTGACTCCCAGGCAAAGAAGGCCTCGGCGGAGATGAGGTCTTCATCATACAGGGTGTCAAAGAACATCCTCAGGAGATCTGGGGAAGAAAGAAAAACAATACATGCATCTTGTAAGAAAAAAGTTCTTCAAGAAACTGGATAGATTTTGAAAATCTATCCAGTTGCCTAAAGTACATAGTTGTCTTCTTGTGTATCTAATCATCTGAATGTCTAACCTTCATTGATTCATTGTGCTTTTTTAACTTTATTGCTACTATAGATTTTTAAACAAACATAAAGATATAAGTATTACCATTATAATAAGACGGTACTTAAGTATATAACTTGTACATTCTGTAAAAAGTTCATAATACTAGGGTACTTCTATAGGGTGCTCCTATGAAAAATTTCTAGGTGCACTAATTTTGGGATCGGAGCATGTGCTCCTAAAATGGGACCAGTCTAGAGGTCTAGTACTGTTGCTGTTGGTGGAGTTATACTGACTAGGGTTGACTCACGTGGGGGATGGTCTAGCTTTACTATGAGTGCCTGTAGTGCGAAGAGTGCCTGCAGTTCTCTGGTGCTCTCGTTGTCCAGGTACTTCTGCAACAGAACAACTCTCTTCTGGACAGCCTGGGTGTCACACCTTAGACTTGGACTTTCACCTAAAGACACATGTGAACATGGAGAGGAACATAGAGCCATAAATAAGCCAACATGCAATAATTTACCACCTAATGTCCAAAACCTTCTCTTTAAAAAATTGTCTGAGTTAACTGGTAAGTTGTGTGGTCAAACAGCACACACACACTCACTCACTCACTCATTCACACACTCACACGCACACACATGCACATGCACACACATACACACACACACACACACACACACACACACACACACACACACACACACACACACACTCACTCACTCACATACTCAAATCTATGCTGAGGCTTGATGCATGCCCGTAGCCAGGATTTTGAATGGGGGGGTTCGTCTCACTGCTTGAGGGGACCTCTAGCGCCGTAGTCGCGAGGTTCTTAGGGGGGTCCGGGGGCATGCTCCCCCTGAAAATTTTGAAAAATGAACCTTCTAAAATGGCATTTCGTGCATTTTTGAGAGGATTTCCAAGAAAAAATCAGAGATAAATTTTCATTCAATGACAAAGGGAGCAGTTTTTCTACGATTCCAGTCCATCTTTTCAAGAAAAATTTTGGACCTTTACATAAAATGTGGATCAAAAAGTGGACCTTTACATAAAATGTGGACCAAAAAGTGGACCTTTACNTAAAAAAGTGGACCAAAAAAGTGGACCTTTGAGCCTTGTGGGGGGGTTCGTCCGAACCCCCGAACCCCCCCTGGCTACGGGCATGTGATGGTAGCCCGCCACTTGCCTCTGTCCTGTTGGTGTACGCTGACTATTGGTTTATGTACACACATCATGTAATGTGCATGTCAGATTGCTCACCTGTGATTGCACTTTTACACACAGCAGTCATCAAAGTACGGATGAATACTGGCTCTCTTCTCCTCGCTTCATCAATATTGTCCTATCGAAAACAATACATCACATTAATTAATTTGAACACCTTCTAATTCTGACGTCTGGCTCAGGTCAATGACCTGATTTGTTTGGAGAAGAAGAAGATAAATGTTTTCCTTCTGCAAACAATATGTTTTCCTTTAATATTTAAAGTAATTGTCACCTGGATCCAGGCAATGATATGTTCATTTTGCACGTCCTCTTTAACCAGGATGTCCAGGAAAGCAGCGATCTGTTGTATGGGAAGTCTGGGTCTGTCCTCAACAGCAGCCTCTGTCTGGGAAAACAAGTGAGAATGTTGGCTAAACTTCATCAAAAAGTTGCAGGCAAAATGAATTCTTCAAAATGAAACCTTCCCAATGTTTCTATGAGCAAGACCCCCCCCCCCAAGCAAAAAGGCATTTACCAAAAACAGACATAAGTTTTTTCTTCCCCTCTGAACGACATCATCTTAAAACTAAAAAGACTTACTCTGTTCTCCACAGTTTGGGCAGTCAAAGAGGTAGTCTCAGGCTGTTTATCTGGGAAAAGAAAAACATGTTAAATGTTGGTAAAGAAAATGTTGTTAAGAAAAAAGACAGTATTGTTGAGAAAAAAAATTTTATTTGCATAGTAAAACAAAAAAAAAAAAAACAGATCATGACATTTTAAAAAGAATTTCACGATAATGTCACAGTCGCTGCTGTCATCAGAATTCCTAATTATCCAAAGCAGAAAACTTAGTACTTTATCTGACATAAACTCTATCTTTGAAAACATTTCGTCTGACCCTTACCTTTCCCTCATGACCTCAATGAAAAGCAGCCTACAGGCTTATTTCAGCTCCTCATAAACAAACAAAGGCCACACCAATTTAATTTGTTGGTTCTTGGATTTTTTCAGAAAAAGTATGAGGCAACAGGGCAAAAAAAATTGCAAATCGGAAAAAAATGAAGAGGCGAATCCGAGAACCAACAAATTAAATTGGTGTGGCCAAAGGTTGGAACAAAAAAGCAAGCATCCCAACATGGAGACAGACATATTTTGATGGAAAAGTTTTGGCAAATGTGCATTAGCTAATGCCAAAACTTCAAGCACAAAATCTACAAACTTTGAAACATGTTTTCTACACAGCATTTATACCATCCATTATGAATGTTACACACAACAGCATCAGCTGATCTTCCCAGTCGATAAGACAGGAGAAACGGTTAAAAAGCCGGAGGTTTGCCTTCTGGTCAGAGGAAACAACGGGAGCTCATTCTGGTGTGAACAAAGATCACAGACTTGCCAATATGATTAAGGTAAGTTCTTACTATGTTTCTTTTTTCTCATTTTCATAATGTCTTTGAAAAGATTGAGAGCTAACAGATTGATACTGGGAATGAAGAAGTTTGGGCAATTGTTTAAAAAAAAGAAACTTTAATGGCTGCAAGCAGATAAACAGGGCATATAATCCTGGTGGGGAAAAACTTACTAGTAGGCACAGCAGATATTTTTACTTTAAGGTACTTTTAGTACTTTTAGGTTCTTGTAACTTTTAGCATCAAAGAAATGTGCAGAACAAGAAAAATAGGGTATAGACTTGAAGTACAGAGTATCTGAGTTAATAATAACTGTTGACAGGCTAATCACCCTTTGTTGTATTTTTTTCAGACTGGCCTGACCTTCAGTCTGGTGACTGTTATCTTGCTTGCGGCTGGCGGCGTCACGTTTTCTGCTGAGATTCCTCAACCACAAGTTGCTCACGGTATGAAAGCTATATGTTTGTTTTAACATATTTTTTTTTAAATCATACTATTATAGTCTTACATGTATCTTGTCAGTGATTTTAGTGGTTAATATATTTGTGAGTGACGGTACAAGTCAAAACTGCGACTTCTGCAATTAGTAAGTAAAAAGTACAATGTCTATAATTCACAGATGGAAGTTTGAACCACCCTGTGAATGTTGACACCCAGAGGAACGACCCCCCTCCCCCCGGTGCTGTTAACTTTGAGGATTGTACACGTCTCTACCCTCTACTCTACTGGACCAACGCAGTGCAGGATGGAGTCTTCCCCATCAAACCCGAGTCTTCCACCGACCACTTTGACGTCTACTGTGACATGACTACAGATGGTGGGGGCTGGACTGTCATACAGAGGAGGGTGGATGGGAGACTTAACTTTGTTAGGAACTGGGCAGACTACAAAACTGGGTTTGGGAGGGTCGAGGGGGAACACTGGCTTGGACTGGACAAAATTCACACACTGACATCCCAGAATAGCTATGAGTTGTATGTGGAGTTACAGGATTGGGAAGGGAACTTTGCTCATGCTAAATATGGTACATTCAGCATTGGGGATGAGAGTACAGATTATGCACTGAACATCGGGGGGTACAGTGGGGATGCTGGAGACTCTATGGGTTACAGTAACGGTAGGAAATTCAGTGCTAGGAATGTGGACAATGATGGGCACAGCATAATTCACTGTGCTCAGGACTGGTCAGGTGGCTGGTGGTATGCTGGTTGTGGTTACTCTGCCCTGAATGGTCCCTACTACCTGCCAGAGGACTATCACGGTCCTAACACAGGGTATGGTGTTTACTGGCGTCACTGGAAAGGTGCCTGGTACTCACTGAAGGCCACCAAGATGATGGTGCGACCTCAAAATTTTGTCCGCAAACTGTAACTATGTTACAGTTACAGTGTAACTGAAGTGCGGATCCCTCTTTCATTCAAACACACAAATTATGTTGGAAAACATTTACTAAGAGAGATGTGTGAATCTTTGATTTCTATGTTCATTTGATCATATACAGAAGCTGTAGATTGCAGTAACTATACTCCAGTGCTACAGAAATAGTGGAAACATGAACAATTTTTGTCTGCAGTACTACATGTAACTGTGTTTGGACATATTCAGGTGTTACATAATTGTGTAATTGCCTACCTGCCTAAATGCTTAGGCCAGGACTGGCCCCTTGCTCCTCTTCATTTTTTCCCGCCAGGCATCACGGTCCTTAGCCTTTCGTTCAGCGTACTTGAGGGACCACCCCGTGTCCTGTACTATCTGGTCCCGCCATCTTTTAGGGGGTCTACCTCTAGGTCTGGGGTTTGTGAAATCCTGATGGTAGGCCCCATACACCAAAGAGTCTGGGGGTCTCCTCTGAACGTGACCAAACCACCTCAGCCTTCTTTTACGAATATCGTCGATGATGGTATTTTCCATTCCCAGCATGGCTCGGATTTCCTCATTTCTGATGTGGTCTCTCCATGAGACATTCAGGATAGCCCGCAGGCATCTCATTTCAAAAGCCAATAGGAGTTGTTCATCACTTTTTTTCAATGTCCATGTCTCACAAGCATAAGTTGCTATTGGGAAAATGAGGGCATGTAACAGACGGGTTTTGAGGTGCCTACTGACATCAGACCTGTTCCAAACTGTTTTCCTGAGTCTGCCAAAGGCAGAAGCAGCAAGGGCAACTCGCCTTGTGTATTTAACAGTATGTTTATCTGTGCTTAGTCTATCCTACTACTACAAGTTGGGTCTGAGTGATGTCAATAAAAAGAATCTGAGTGTGTAACTTTGAATGGGTATTATTTCATGACTGTGTAGCTTACATTTTTCAGACAACTAAGACAGTTGTACATGTACTATACATTTAACATCTTTACACATTACGTAAGACTATGAAAATATTTGGGTGCATTGGTGCACCCACAGAGAAAAAAAATTGGGTGCACAGCTCCAAATTTGGATGTAGTAAGGTGCTCATGCACCCAGTATTTCCAGCCCTGACCACACAGAGAAAGAAATTACAATGCCCCACCTGTTGTATGCTGTCTCTGTGGCGTGGCTGGGTCAGACGTAGGTGTACTGACTGGGTCGGGTGTGGGTGTATCCAGCATGTCCCACGCTGCGTCCCACGTCTCTGACCTCCCATATTGCTGCCAGCCTACTGTCTGTTCTGGGAGACTGGTACTACTTCTCACGGTGTCCACACTGCCTGTGCTGTGGGTCCAATGTCATAATTATCTTAACAGGGTTACAGTAACAAGGTCTGTTTTAACAATGTATACCAAATACTAATTATTAAAATTAAGATCCACCAATGGAAATTCAGGAAAAAACAAATACACGGAATTTCCGTACCCCAAACACCAATCAAGTCTTTAGGAATTTATTTCAGTTATGATAAAAAAGAGTGCAATGAAAGAAATTGGCATGAAAAGGTTACAAAAATAGAAAGCATGCTAAACATATGGAAGAACAGAAAGCTAACTCTATATGGAAAGGTAACTATATTAAAAACTCTAATAATGTCACAAATAACATACTGTGCTACAGCTCTATTAGCCCCAGAACAGGTTATTGTTAAACTACACCGTCTATTTTATCAATTTTTGTGGTCAGGGAAGAAAGACAAAATAAGAAGATCGGTTACCATAGCAAACTATGACAAAGGCGGACTAAAAATGATAGATATCAGAGCACAAATCGAAGCATTAAACGCTGGGATTATTAGACGTCTTATGGATAATACATCAGGAGATTGGAAAATCATACCAAGTCTTTATCAAAACAGCATTGGAAGTGACTTTCTAATCTTGAAAATGCATTTTAAAAATAGATCAAATTCGAATTACTCCCAATCTACACCACATACCCCCATATATAAGCAAGCCATACTTAGTTGGCACCGAGCGGGTGGCGGAAACGTACCCGAACCAGTAACAGCTAACGAAGTCAAAAATCATATTATTTGGGGGTCTAGCTATGTCACAAAAACCCAAAGAAAAAGAAAACACGCATCATTATACTACAAGAAATGGATAGACGCAGGAATAATATACATAAGAGATCTGTTGGATAATAACAATCATATAAACAAATTACAGATACTTAACAAACTACACGATAAAAAAAATTGGCTTGCTGAAATGTACACCGTTAAAAATGCAATTCCGAAAAGATGGTTAGCACTACTGAACGACACCCAATGTCAAACAACAGAATGCACAGAACAAAGATTAAAATACACAAACTACACATGTAGATACTTATACAGTATGCTAATTATCGACAAAATCGACAAACCACAGAGTGAACAAAAATGGGCTGTCATTTTTGATAAGAATTATCAAACTTTTGAACTTCCATGGATTGATATGACTATACATTTAACAACAGAAAGAAAATTATCAAACTTCATGTTTAAGTTGCTCCATCGAATACTTCCAAATAACAAAAATTTACATAGGTGGAAAATAGTACCATCCCCATTGTGCCACATTTGTAAAGTAGTAGAGGATGAAAAACACATGTTTATCAACTGTATAAGATTGGGCAACTTCTGGGAAAGGTTCAAGAAACTTTTAAATGTATTAGTCAAGATTGACCTTGATTTTGAAACTTGTATTCCCATAATGGGAATACCAAGAACTGAGAAAATGTACAAAGGAGGCAATCACATGATTGCATTAGCCCTGTATGCCATATTTAAGTCCTGGATCATGTATAAAGAGAACGAATGTTTTGATAAAATAAATTGCTTTTCAATATTTTACAAAGATCTTAAAAACATACTATGCATAGAATATAACATATCAGATACAAACGCAAAGAGAAAGTGGGGCTACTTAATTCCCCTGGTAATGTAACATATATCTATTACATTGTATTGTATTGTATATAAAAGTTTGTATAGTTTGTAAATAAAGTTCATGGACAGGACCATGAAAAGGAAAAAAAAAAAAAAAAAAAAAAATCCACCAATAACTTTTTCAGCTATGCACACACACATTCACAGATACGCACACACACTTGCGCACACACACACACACACACAAGCACGCGCACACACACACCGCTATCATAACAAATATTTTAACATCAGCTTCAACAATTTAAGACTGCAGGACATCTGGAAGTGAGGAAAAGCTAAGAATCATTGCTGACATATTTTGTACACAAAACCATACCTATTGTCAGTGGGCAGGTGTACATTCATGGAGAGCTCTCTCAGCTATTGGAACACCCACGCCCCCCTCCCCCTTCTCACTCCCTGCCGTTTTTTGTTTGTTTGTTTGTTTGTACTGTAACCTACCTACTATCAGCAGCAGCAGGCAGGTGTACGTTCATGGACAGTTCTCTCAGCTGCTGGAACACCCATGCCCCCCTCCCCCTCCTCACTCCCTGCCGCCAGCCTCGGCCTGTGAAAATTAAGGATGAAAAAGTCATCTTCAGGGACTATCAATAGAGCACATATGCCTCAGCTGGCCTCCAAATCATGTACACATAAAGTTGAACAGTCTCAGATTGGTAGATATTCAGGAAGATTTTTGCATGCTGATAGTTTCATATTCCATTTCAATGTAACTTGTTTTCTACTGCCAGGTATGATTGGTCTTCACAACTTCATCTAGCCCTTTGAGACGCCAGGAATCGAACATGCACCGAACCTGGGCAGCCAGCTTACGACATCAGCACACTAACGACTATTCCAAAAGGTCCGGACCTAATTGGAATGGTTCAGTTAGTGGCTCTTGAACCCCACTGTTACATTTATTAAAAAATGATATTTGTAGCTAAACCCTCACCTCTCTCCCACTGTCTCCTGCGCTGCCTGGGCTGCTGCCCCAGTCTCTGCTGTAGTTGCTGAGTCTCCCGCTCTGCCTCTCGGTGGATCTGCTCCAGGGTCTTCGGCACGTTCTTGGGTCGTCTGGGCTCCCAGTCATTCTGGGGGGGGAAAATGAGTCTTTGGTAGAAACTTCTCAAGTTCTTGCCAAGGAGTGAGAGATCAACATTATAACAATAATCCAAATAAAACAAACAAACACCTTCTGTAATGTCACATTATGCAGCTGACACATGCATATTGGTGAGCAGTTGATCAAATATAGGTTGCAGAAAGTCTGTGGGACCCTGTTTTGGTTACAGAATGACGGCAATGCCTAGTCTGGGTGCCATCTGATTGACAATTTTTTCAGGGTTGCCGTTACAAATCGGATGGCACCCAGGCTGGTCGTAATGTCCTGGTATGGATATGGTGGATTGCTCATTCCTTGACAAAGACTGGAGTTGTACTGTCCTTGACAAAGACTGGAGTTGTACTGCCAAAAATTTGGGTAAGTCCAATTCCTTGTGTTGCAGATGACAGTCAAACTTATTGATAATACTTACCATTCTTAGATCAATGAGGTCCCTCATCAGAAAGCACATGCGAGTAGAAGCCCTCTTCTGGTTGATAATCTGGTGCAAAGTTTCAAAATACTGATCCACTTTTGCCTGTAACAAGGATGAAAATGACATTAATTGATTAGTGAAAAGGAAAAGAGTGACGGACACAGGATACAGGAGTTTTCTTTACACAACCAAATTTTCTCACCTAAAGTGCTGACGTATCGATGTCTATCAGACACCTTCCTCAGAGCTTCTGACTGGAGTTCTGCTTCTCGCCGCTATATATAGCCGATGTAGGTGGTGCTTGACGGACACCAAAATGTAAGCAAATTAATTGAAAATACTGGTTGTGTGCAAGAAATCCTAAATACTCTACCAACCTGATGAAAGTATTTTCAGAAGTACCTTAGACTGTTTGAGGTCCAGTTCCTTGCCCATGGTAGTCAGCAGGACACTCCAGACTCTCCTCCGAGCAGGCCAGTTTTGCTTGTGTGGCTTCTTTAGGTGTACAATACTACACTCATATCTATTACATGTACCTTCGACTGTTCCAGATCCAGCTCCTTGCCCATGGTAGTCAGCAGGAGACACAGACACTCCAGACTCTCCTCTGAACACGCCTTCAGTAGTTTCTCCACACAGCTGTGCATGATGTTAGCCGTCAGCAGTTTCAGTTTGAACAGTTCACCGATCAGACTCACCATCGCCAGCGCTCGGCGTTTGGCCATCAGGAGCTCCAGCTGCAACTTTGGCTTCTCCTCTTCCTGAGAAAAAAACAAACAAACAAACAAAAAAACAAAGAAACCTTAGGTTAGTTGTAAAGTTCAAGCTTTGTTCCAACACAGGAAGAAAACTCACCATAAATTTTCAGTCGATCTCGTCAACCTTTGTCAGATGTGTGATGCACTTGCAGACTCTCTGGAAGTTGGAAGCGTGGTTACTGTAAATTGTGAAACTTGTGCAGTGATTTCATTTCATGTTAGGGAGGTTTTCATAGTGTTTTAAATTTGTGGTTGAAACAATATTTTGCTAAATATACAATTACGTACAACAAAGACATATTCGTGGTGCAGTCATAAAACGCAAAAATAAAACCACCTACAGATTTCAGGATTTACTAGTATAACCATTCATGACAACCACACCTATCTAGTTCTATGCCTGAATGAGTTAGGATCAGACATGTTTCTGGATAGTCTCTGCGTATCCAATAACATAGATTTGCCTCAGGCACTGTTCTGGTTACGCATGGACTATCTAGGACCATGCCTGTACATGGTTCTAGATAAAGCATGGTTCTGGATACAGGGACTGAGAAAGACTGAGAAAGACAAAAAAGCCATACCGGCACCACCTCCAGAAGTTGCTGTCCCCTGCTGATTTTCTGTCCCAGCTCGCTGATCCTCTCAAACTCCGCCTTACACCTGCGCAGGAGGACCTGTCGGAAGTTAATCATCTCCCGCGGATGGTCCTTACTGGGAGCCTTCAGCTGGGGAAAACACAGGAAAGACATTGTCTTAATGTATATAATATTGTGTTGCAACAAGCTGAAACTAGCTGTTTCATAGTTATGAATGTTCAGATCTAGAGTTATGAAAGTGATAATTTCCATAAAACTTGCTCTGGCACTAGTTCCGGTAACTAGTTAATAGAGTTCATATTTTCCAAAAAGTCTGACAATACCAGCAGTGTCTTCAAAAAGAAAGAAAGACAATTATTTTGAAACAAACAGGGTAATACTACTAATAGATCAATACCATATAGCCTTTCCACCTCCTTAAAAACATGCAAACGCAAAATAAAAACATAAAAATACAAATATTTGAAAGACTTGAAATGCACCCTGTTATTGATCAAACCGCTGATTATCATCATATCAATAGCTGAACTACAAATTGTGACAAACAGTCTAACCCCCCTACTCACATGAATGAGACACCTGCACAGGTTGGCGTACACCTCTGCGTAGTTAGGACCAGCAGGTGAGAAGGATGTGATCATGTTGTCCACCACATGGACCCCCCCCCCACACACACACAAACATAAGTGACCCCCCTATAGGTACTCACATGAATGAGACACCTGCACAGGTTGGCGTACACCTCTGCGTAGTTAGGTCCGGCAGGTGAGAATGATGTGATCATGTTATCCACCACCAGGTGAGTCAGACCCCTCAGTCCATCCTCCGTCACTATGTCCAGGTCCAGAACCTGCTGACACAGCGTCTGGAACTTCTGTGGAGTCAGCTTGTTCAGGATGCTCTGAACTTTCCGCAACACTTCCTGGATTCGTAAAATATTAGGGTAGGGTAAAAAGCATTGGAGGAGAAGCTTTAGCTAAACAGAATCCTGTTTTCTGGTCAGGCACTTTTGATTCATTCCTGATGTCATCAAGCTCAATCCAGATTCTGGAAAGTCAGCATAGTGGACTGTTCATCCAAATACTGTACAATTGAAAATTAGCACCATTTCATAATGGATTGTACACTATACAATGATAAGCGCCTATTGCTGTTTTCCTTTCTTTCCGCTTGTTCAATTGATTTCAATACATTGACAAGACTCACACAAACCAACAATGCACTCCAAAACAATACTTTCATACTAGAACCTGGGAGAACATTAATTACTTAAGCTGGGGTCAGAGAATTGTTAGATGAAATTTTGTTGGATAATACATAAATACCTGTGTTCCAGAGTTGCTATAGGCACCATACTGCTGCAGTTTGAAGCTGGGCTGCCAGGGGTCCTCGGTGTGATGCAGTGTGCATGTATCTAGCAAAGCTGGGCTGGCCTGTTCTTGCAATTGTTCCCTCCCACCCTGTCTGTTGGTATCACCTCTGCCCTGTATGGCAGATAAATATAAATGATGAACCTTAGCAATACTATTATATTACTAATAAGAGTTTCAAGACCCGATACCTTTGCTTTTTCAAAATGATGAATTGTAAATTATGTTTCTCATTGATAATGCAAATATGAATAGTATCATATTAAAATGTCACCTAAGTTTGCTTGAAAGCTAAGACAAGGCCTTCATATATACCCATATATGGCCTAACATTCCTCACTGTTACAAAAGAATTGCCAATGTTAAATGTACTGCTTTGTTTGGACATTTTCTAAGACTGGATGACGTCTTCTATTGATGTTCATTTATTATATGTTGGATAAGATGAAATTCAGGAATTCATGTTTAAGGCAAAAATTACTAAGATAACACAGTTTCCAATTCACAGTATTGCACAACTGGTCTCTGTCCTTTGTGAAATTCTCATTGTGAAACTTGTTCAAGTTATTGCGAAACTATGTTATTTGTACGTATTGGGAAACACCTGATCACTATTGCAAAACACAACTTATGTTATATATATATATAAATGTATAGATAATGTTCCAATAGAACAAGTATGTTACAAATTATAAGTATAACGTTACCATGGTAACTGATAATCACACGAATACAGTCTAGAAAAGAGTCAAGCTCTGCCAAATCCAAATGGTGCACTTCTTTATAACTCTTACAGTTAAGTTACACCGAACGGAAAAAAAGGATGTTTGTTTGTTTAAATCCTCTGTTTATTCCGAACAAAACCGGTTGGTCAAGCGGACAACAAATTTACAAATGGGGGAGGGGCGTATACCAGTATTGTGCACATAGAATTTGTTCCTTTACTTTGGGAATCAGGATATGTGTCAAAATAATCTACAAGTTCTACTAATAACTTACCTTCATCTTGAATACATCCTCACCGCAGAAATAGTAAATTAAATGATTCGAAGGGACAACAAAATTTGTTGTCCCTTCGAATCATTTAATTTACTATTTATTTACG